AATTACAGTGTCATTTCATCTGTCGTATACTTCATTCACTCTCCTGTCTACCTCCTTACCCCCAGCATGCACAGTTAAGAGTTTTACAGAGAGAAAGTAAAAAATATAGAGTTTCTGTTCAGAGGGTTTTAACTTCCTGCAGCATAATACCTGATTGTGTGTTCTTTATTTCTATAAATACTTATTAAACATAATTCTTTTAAAAAGAGATGGGATCTCACTCTGTTACCCAGGCTGGAGAGCAATGGCATGATCATAGCTTACTTCAGCCTCAAACTTCTGAGGCTCAAGTGATCCTCCTCCCTGCCTCTGCCTCCCAAGTAGCTGAAGCTACAAGCACATGCCACCATGACCAGTTGGCTAAATTTTTAAATTTTTGTAAAGATAGAGTGTTACGATGTTGTCCAGACTGGTTCTGAACTCCTGGCCTCAAGTAATCCTCTCACCTTGGCCTCCCAAATTGCTGGTATTGTAGGCATGAGCCACTATGCCTGGTCTGCATTTATTGAGTATAATTTTATGTATTTTTCTAACTGCTAGGGATATGGTAGTCAAGAGTTGTTGCTGTTATGATGTTTACATTTTATTTTATGTATTTATTTTTAAGGAAAATGATATTTTAAATTTAATTTTGTTATTAACATTTTTTAAATTGACACATAATTACATATATAGGGTATTTATCTGAAGGAAATAAAATCAGTATGTTGAAGAGAGATGTTCACTCTCATGTATATTGTAGCAATATTGACAATAGCCAAGATATGAAATCCACCTAAATGTTCAACAACAAATAAATGGATAAAGAAAACTAACAGAAGAACAGAAAACCAAACACTGCATGTTCTCACTCATAAGTAGAAGTCGAACAATGAGAACACATGGACGCAGAGAGGGGAACATCACACACCGGGTCTGTTTGGGGGTCGGGGGCTAGGGGAGGGATAGCATTAGGAGAAATACCTAATGTAGGTGACGGGCTGCTGGGTGCAGTAATCCACCACGGCACGTGTATACCTATGTAACAAACCTGCACATTCTGCACATGTACCTCAGAACTTAAAGTATAATAATAAAAAATGAAATAAAGAAAATGTGGTATGTATACACACTAGAATACTAATCAGCCATAGAAAATAATGAAATCCTGTCATTCATAGCAAAATGGATGGAACTAGAGGATACCATGTTAAGTGACATAAACCAGGAACAGAAAGTTAAACACTGCATGTTCTTGCTTATGTGAAAACTTAAAAAAAGTTGACCTCAGAACAGAGGATAGAAGAAGCTGGGAAGGGCTGGGGAAGGGGAGGTTAGGGAGAGTTATGTTAAAGTATACAAATTACACCTAGACAGGCAAAATAAGTTCTAATGTTCTATTGCAGTGGTCTCCAACATTATTAGCACGAGGGACCTGTTTCGTGGAAGACAATGTTTCCATGGACCTTTGGCGGGGGTGGTTTCAGGATGAAACTGTTCCACCTCAGATCATCAGGCATTAGATTCTCATAAGGAGCAGGCAGCCTAGATCCCTCACATGCGCAGTTCACGATAGGGTTTGTACTCCTATGAGAATCCAGTGCTGCCGCTGATCCGCTGATCTGACAGGACGCAGAGCACAGGCGGTAATTCTGGCTCGCCCAGCCACTCACCTCCTGCTCTGCAGCCCGGTTCCTAACAGGCCACAGATTGGTACTGTCCATGGCCTGGGGGTTGGGGACCCTTGCTCTACAGCACTGCAGGGTAACTAGAGTTAACAACCATGTATTGTATATTTTCAAATAGCTAGAAGAGAGGATTTTGAATGTTCCCAACACAAAGAAATGGTAAATGTTTGAAGCGATAGGCTAATTACCCTGCTCTGATCATTACACATTGCATACATGTTACATGTGCTTTCATTGTCTTCGGAAGAGACAGACAAAACTAAACAAATGAATATGGTGATATGTGCTTTAAAGAAAATGAAACAGTATGATGTCATAGTAAATGTGAATACTATTTTAGATTGGTTAGTTAAGGAAGGCCTCTTTCGGGAGGGAACATTTGAGTTGATATCTAGACCTGATTGACAGCCATGTAGAAATCTCAGGAAAGATAGTCCAGGCAGAGGGAAAAGCTATGCAAAGACCCTAAAGCAAGAATGACCTTGGCATGTGAAAGGAACAGAAAGAAGGCTCATGTGGCTGGCACCTAGGAAGTAAGGAAATGGTTAGCAGGGGCTAGATTATGTAGGACTGTGCGTACATTGTAAGGATTTTAGATTTTATTCTGTGTGAAAAGCGAGACCACTGGAGGACATTAATCAGGGGCACAGCGTGATGAAAAGTTTAGCACTGGGAGAGAAAACTTGGATGATTATTTGATAAGGATCCAATTCTTGGATGAATTCTTTCACCCACATGACCTCGTCTTCTCATCTCTAAAGGTGAGGATAATAATAGTTGCCTACCTTCCAAGATTGTCAAGAATTTCATAACTGGAAAGAATCCTAGAAAATATCTAAGCTAAACGCTCATAAAGAAGTTGAAGCTCAGCCAGAGTAAACCACCTGCTCATCTTCAGCTAGAAGGAGGGAGCTAGGAGCCTCCAGAATTTTGTTTCTGTTTTGTTTTCCTAAATGCCACACTGTGTATGTAGTATTTCAAATGATGTTGGGAATGAACGCAGAGGGATTTTGCAAACCTTAGAGTGCAATACAAATGTAAGAGATAATTGTTTTCAGGATACTGGGTTCTGAGAGAACAAAGTCATCATAAGGCATAGATTATTTGGGAAGAAAAGCATTGATAAACAAGTCATACTCATTTTTCAAATGCTTTGTCTAGGAACCACCACAGTCATGTCCTAAATGGAAACAGGACCGAAACCCAGTGAAGAGAAAATAGAGGTTATTCTGACCATGAGAAATAGCACAAAAGATTCCTTTTCTCTCCTGTAGTGTCTTTACTAGAAGTGCAAAGAGGCTTTTTGCCTCTCTTAACTTTATTTTATTTTGTTTTGTTTTGAGATAGAGTCTCACTCCGTCACCGAGGCTGAAATGCAGTGGTGCCATCTCGGCTTACTGCAATCTCTGCCTCCTAGGTTCAAGCGATTCTCATGTTTCAGTCTCCCAAGTAGCTGGGATTACAGGCACCCGTCACCATGCCTCATTTTTTTTTACTTTTTTGTTTTAGTAGAGACGGGAGTTTTGTACCACGTTCACCAGGCTGGTCTCAAACTTCTGACCTCAAGTGATCCACTCACCTCGGCCTCCCTAAGTGCTGGGATCACAGGCGTGAGCCACTGTGCCTGGCCTTCTCTTAACTTTAGAAGAGCAACTCTATTTGTGCTCATGCAGGGTCCAAGTAGGCAAAGAGAGACAGTTAAGAGCAGAGGCCATAAATTCTTACTCTTCAGCAACCATCTTTCAGGAGTGGAATAAAAACAACATCAAAATGGGACATCTGGTGGTATAATAATCACCATAGGCAGTTGAAATTGTGTTGCTTTCTTAGTAGTTTCTAGATAAAAAAGAATATTTTATTCCCAAGGTGTTTGACCAATTAAGCTGTCATTAGAAAATATTGCAACTGTAATTGTTAATTACACCAATACTAAATCCTACAACAAAATTAGCTTGGATTATCTTTTTAACCTTTTATTTTAATCTATTTTAATCTTTAATATTTTATTTTATTTCATTTATAGAGGCAATTCTCTTAGGATATAAACTTCTTCATTTGAATGTCAGACTTTGCAGATCGAAGGATCTTTTATCTCTGTTCTGTTGGGTAACATGGCACACATAAGTGGTGTAGCCGATATACCTTTACCTTAAACTTATTCCCTTAAGAACAGTTTTCTTCTTGCCATATACAAGATTGACAAGGACATGGAAAATGAGACTTTGGGAAAAAACCAAGAATATTGCTATAGGTTTAATCATAATTTACATATTTAAGGATGGGAAAGATGACCACTTCTGCAGCAAATGTGGAGCTTCTTTCTTTTGAAATAATCTGAATACCTATCAGGCACTCCCTTTAATTAAGGAGAAAATTGCAGTGGAAGGTAGAGATGTAATATTTTCTTATTTGCTACATTATAAGAATCCAGATATGGATAGAAAGGTCAATTCTAGGATGCTGCTCCTCTCTACAGTTAACAAATCTTTTTTTTTTTTTTTTTTTTGAGATGGAGTCTCACGCTGTTGCCCAGGCTGGAGTGCAGTGGCGCGATCTCGGCTCACTGCAAGCTCCGCCTCCCGGGTTCCCGCCATTCTCCTGCCTCAGCCTCCTGAGTAGCTGGGACTACAGGCGCCCGCCACCGCGCCCGGCTAATTTTTTGTATTTTTAGTAGAGACGGGGTTTCACTGTGGTCTCGATCTCCTGACCTTGTGATCCGCCCGCCTCGGCCTCCCAAAGTGCTGGGATTACAGGCTTGAGCCACCGCGCCCGGCCTTACAGTTAACAAATCTTTAGAATTAGATGTTAAATGAGAAATTAGTTATTTAGAGTGAATAGTTGTCTTATCTTGGGCTGCTCAAACAAAATACCATAGACTGGATGGCTTAAACAACAGATGTTTCTCTCTGTCAGTTCTGATGGCTGGAAAATCCAACATCAAGGTTCTCTGGCTCCTGGTGAGGACCTACTTCTGGCTTGCACATGGTTGCCTTTTTGTTGTAACCTCACTTGGCAGAGAGAGTGCTTTGGTCTCTTCCTCCTCTTGTAAGGACACTAATTGCATCATGGAGGCCCCACCCTCATGGCCTTATCTATACCTAATTACTTGTTAAAGGCTCCACCAGCAGGTATCATCACATTAGGGGTTGGGGGTCAACATACTGATTTTAGGAAGCATTCAGTCCTTAAGAGTGGTGGTGATGGAGGGTGTAAAGAATGCTAGTTTGTCTTTTAATTAATTACTTAACTTAGTATTAGGAATCCAACGTGGAAAGGAATAGTTGTTTGACTGTGACACTAGGTCTCGTTTTTGGTTTTCAACCTTTCTCTTAGAGCCTGCTCCAAGATTTCCTCAGTGAGGCCTTTCACTGGGTTGGTCTGAGGAACAATTCTGGCTGGAGGTGGGAAGATGGATCACCTCTAAACTTCTCAAGGTAAGGGGCTTCAAAGGAGTGCCAAGAAAGAGAGAGAGGAAAAAGGAAAGCCAAATTATAATACTTGGGGAATAGATTAAGAAGAGCAGATGGAGAGGAGAGGAAAAAGTGAAAAGGAGAGGAAATAGGGAACAAGGAAGGGAATGAACAATGGGTAAGGGCAAAAAATAAAAAATAAAAAAAGGTGATAACATTTTAAAGAGAGGCTAATGGACAATTTTAATTCTTCTGCCTGAATAGAGAGAAAGAATTTGCTCAATTTTTATCCCTTCATGCCTTTCAACTCCTTTTCTGTGCATACGGCCTCAAGTGATTGACTTTTCTGATTTCTTACAGGATTTATTCTAATAGCTTGGTGCAGACATGCGGTGCCATCAACAAAAATAGTCTTCAAGCTTCAAGCTGTGAAGTTTCTTTACAGTGGGTGTGTAAGAAGGTCAGCCCTTGATGGATGACCACTCTGTCCTGACCCTCAGATCTGTCATGTATCCCTAAAAGGAGGGAGCTGGCCACTGGCTGTTGGGAAAGCCATGAGTATGTAGTTAGCAAATACTGAACTTGCTCAGATATGGCATTAGATGCAAGACAACCTCCTGGGGATTGATGCCTAACTGATGGATTCTCTTTGAGACTATTTAGATATTATGTGAACAATTTAAAGACCAGATATAAGCAAGTTTTTGAAATAGATAAGTTTGTTTTTTTTGTATTTCTCAGTATGGCAACTAATGCTGCCACTCTCATCCCCATCCCAACCATCTCTGTCAAAAATATACCTTTTTCATGTTATATTCTGAACTAATCTGATAAAATCTATGCCAATATCTGCTATTGCTTATGTAGTAGATAAGTACGTTATTGCTGTACTCCTCTAGTACATTACTGATCCCTGATGGTATATTTTTATCCTAACAGTGACTCTTTGCAAATCAAGCTTTGTTCTAAAGAATAAACCTAGCTGGCATGGTGGTGTGTACCTGTAGTCCTAGCTATTTGGGCAGCTGAGGTGGGAGGGTGGCTTGAGCCCAGGAGTTTGAGGCTGCAGTGAGCTATAATTGCCTCACTGCACTCCAGCCTGGGAGATACAGCAAGACACCATCTCTAAAAAGAAAATAAATACATAATGCTAATGTGAGAATATAAATTGTGGGAAGTGAGTGAGGGCAAGGTGGTACTTCCTCCTTCTCAGGTCTTCACACTTAATGCAAAAATCTGGTCGTAATTGATTTTGTTTATTTTCTGAGTATACATAGATGTGGTTGAATTAACCAATGTGTGATTGTATCTTTTCCATTCTGTGACTGTTTGACCTGCATTTTAATTTCAAGATAGCAGTCAATTCGATAAGGCATTTTCATAGAGGAAAGTTTACAGAAACACTTTATGTGCTTGGATCACCAGATTATCTTAGGTACTAAGGCCTCAAAAATAAGAAAAACTTTATTATTTCTCCTCAGTAGAGTTTGGACATACATAAGGAGAGAAGGTGCAGTAATGAAATAGACCATAATTCTGTAGTGTTGATGATCCTGGATTGTAATCTTTTGTTTTTATCTTTCATAGTTTTTTTTTTTTTAAAAAAAACATGGACTGCATCTTATCTACCACTGTATCCCAAATACCTAAGACGGTGCTTACATTCAGTGACAAATAATTAAATGGATGAATAATAAATAATAATGAAAACTGTTCATTCTAGTTATTTCTGTTAGCCCGTAAATTAGAGGAATTAAAGATGAGAAAAACAGTATATCCTAATCCTTCCTAACTCACCAGTATGAGTCTTCAGTAGCTAACTCTAAAAAGGCAAAGGGCCAGTGAATCTGGATACAGTGCTCATAGAAGGAAGTCATGGAAACAAGCTCCTGTCTCCTAGTGATCTCTTTCCTTTGGTTCTGGCGCAGGAAGTGTCCCTGAGTTACGGATATGACGGTAGTGACTCTCACTTCATTAAGGATTTAATGAGCGCGATTCCATGTGGGCCATGGCTTGGCTACTGCAGGGTGGACAATTTCATTTACTTATTGAAAGAGAAGAAAAGGAGAACTACAGCCGGGTCTTAAATTCTCACCTGAGCAGGCAGGATGTGTGCAGACCTCCTCTGTGACTAGGGTTCAGGCCTTTTATAAGGATTTATCCACCTATTATCAGAACTGGATGTGGTTCTTCATTGCTTTGTCTCCCTTAAGGTTGTTACAAGAGAAGTAACAGTTTACTTCCTGGTTGCTTATTTATTCCTTAGACTTATTTATGAAGGGCTGGGGTCAGTTAGTAACTCAATTCTTGTACCTTACTTAGTGAAATAAAGTTTGGTAAAACTAGAAATGAACAGTTGTTTTGATTAGCACTTACATTGCACAGCGGACTCCTTTGATGGACATTATACATTAAACATATCTGGGACATTCAGTGTTTGGAATAAGACATTTATTAAAGATTATAACAGAGCAGTCACAAAATTAAAATGAAGAAAATCCAGGAACACACAGGAGGAGGCGGAGCAAGAAGCCTCCACCGATTTTTCCCCTGTAGGAATACAAACGAAACAATTATCCGCACAAGAAAGCACCCTCGTAAGAACCAAAAATCAGATGAGCAGTCACAGTACCTGGTTTTAACATCATATCAACAAAAGAGGGCAGGAGAGACAGTCTTGATTTGCCAGTGCCACCCCTTCCCCATCTCCCAGCAGCACAGTGTGGGGTGGAGAGAGAGTCTGTGTTTCGGGGAGGAAGAGTGCAGTGACTATGGGACTTTGCAGTGGAACTCAGTGCTGCCCTGTCAAAGCAGATAGCAACGTGGGACAGAATTTAGCCATTGCCCACAGAGGGAGCATTTAGACCATCCCTAGCCACAGGGGAATGGTGCATCCCAGTGGTCGGACCCTGAGTTTCTGCTAGTCCCACCACTGCAGGCTAAAGCACTCTGGGATCCTAAATAAACCTGAAAGGCAATCTAGGCTACAAGGACCACAATTCCTGGGCAAGTCCTGGTGCTATGCTGGGCTCAGAGCCAGTGGACTTGGAGGGAACGTGACCTAATGAGACCCCAGCTGGGTAGCCAAGGGAGTGCTTGTGTAACCCCTCCTCCAACCCCAGGCAGTGGAACTTGCAGCTCTGGAAGAGACTCCTTCCTTCTACTTGAGGAGAGGAGATGGAAGACTAAAGAGGACTTTGCCTTGCAATTTGGATACAGCTCAGCTAGAGAAGGATAGGGCACCACCACGCAGAGTCCTAAGGTCTCTATTCTGGGACCTAGTTTCTGGATGATATTTTAAGACACACTCTGGACCAGAAGCAACATGCTGCCTTGAAAGGAAGGACTCAGTCCAGGCAGGATTCATCACCTGCTGACTAAAGAGCCCTTTGGCCCTGAATAATCAGCAGCAGTACCCAGGCAGTATTTGCCATAGGTATTGGGTGAGATCCAGTGTCATGCTGGCTTCTGGTGTGATCCAGCACATTCTTAGCTATGGTAGCCATGAGGAGAGACTCCTTCTGCTTGAGGAAATGAGAGGGAGTTTGGACGTAGATAAGGAGAGATTTAACCTAAGACTAATGGGGACTTTGTCTTGCAGCTTAGGTATTAGCTTGGCTACAGTGGAATAGAGCACCAAGTAAGCACCTGGGGTCCTCGATTCCAGGCTCCTGGATAGCATTTCTGGACCTGCCCTGGGTCACAGGGGAGAGAGCCCATTGCCCTGAAGATAGAGACCCAGGTCTGGCAACATTCACCATAAGCTTAGTGAAGAGCCCTTGGGCCTTGGCTTTCAGTGATAGCCGGGTAGTGGTCACCACAAGCCTTGGGTGAGACCTAGTGCTATGCTGGCTTCAGGTCTGACCTAGTGCACTCCAAGTGGTGGTGGCCACAAGGGTACTTGTGTCACTGTTCCCCTAGCTCCAGATAGCTTAGTAAGGAGAGAGAGACCCTGTTTCTTTGGGGAAAAGCAATGGAAGATAACAAGAGGCTCTGCCTGGTAATCTAGTAAATTCTCCTGTATCACACCCAAGACCACCAAGGTGGTACTTCTATGAGTCTGCAAGAGTCACAGTGTTACTGGGTTTGTGGTGCTTCCTAATGCAGATGTAGCTGAATGACCAAAGATTTAGATCACAACACTTCCCTTTGAAGGACTGGAGAGTTTTCCCAAGAAGGATGGGTACAAACAAGCCCAGACTGCAAAGACTATAATAAAAACCTAACTCTTTAATGCCCAGACATGAATAAACATCCACAAGCATCAAGACAATCAAGGAAAACATGACGTCACCAAATGAACTAAATAAGGCACCAATGACCAATGCCAGAATGCAGAGATATGTGACCATTCAGACAGAGTATGTGAAATAGCTGTTTAGAGGAAGTTCGATGAAATTCAAGACAATTGTATTAGTCTGTTTACATGCTGCTGATAAAGACATACCTGAGACTGGGCAATTTACCAAAAAAAAAAAAAAAAAAAAAAGAGATTTAATGGACTCACAGTTCCACATGACTGGAGAGGCTTCGCAATTACAGTGGAAGGTGAAAGGCACGTCTCACATGGCAACAGACAAGAGAAGAGAACTTGTGCAGGGAAACCTCCCTTCATAAGACCATCAGATTTCGTGAGACTTATTCACTATAAAGAGAATAGCATGGGAAAGACCCACCCCTATATTTCAATTGCCTCCCACCAGCTCCCTCCCACAACATGTGGGAATTGTGGGAGCTACAATTCAAGATGAGATTTGGGGTGGGGGCACAGCCAAACCACATCAATAACATAGAGAAGGAATTCAGAATCCTATCAGAAAAATTTAACAAAGAGAGCAAAAATTTAACAAAAATAATTTTGAAAAATCAAGCAGAAATTCTAGAGCTGAAAAATTCAATTAGCCTACTGAAAAATGCATCAGAGTCTCTCAACAGCAGAATTGATCAGTCAGAAGAAGGAATTAGTGAGCTCAAAGACAGGTTGTTTGAAAATATGCTGTCAGAGGAGACAACTGAAAAAACAGAAAAGAATGAAGCATGCCTACAAGATGGAGAAAATAGCCTCAAAAGGTCAAATCTAAATGTTATTGACCTTAAATAGGGGGTAGAGACAGAGATCAGGGTAGAAAGCAAAGGGATAATAACAGGGATCTCGCCAAACCCAGAGAAAGATATCAATATTCAAGCCCAAGAAGGTTATAGAACACCAAGTAGACTTAACTCGAATAAGACTACCTTTAATAATTGAACTTCCAAAGGTTAAGGATAAAGAAAGTATCATAAAAGCAGCAAGAAAAAAAGAAACAAATAACATACAAAGGAGTTCCATACAAAGGAGAAGTTTGTCTGACAGCAAACTTCTCAGTGGAAACCTTACAGGTCAGGAGAGAGTGGCATGACATATTTAAAGTGCCGAAGGGAAAAAAACTTTTACCCTAGAGTAATGTATTTAGTGAAAACATCCTTCGAGCATGAAGGAGAAGTAATGATTTTCCCAAACAAACAAAAGCAGAGGGATTTAGTCAACACTAGACTGGTTGTATAAGAAATGCTAAAGGGAGTTCTTCAATCTGAAAGAAAAGAACATAAGGTGCAATAAGAAATCATCTGAAGGTACAAAACTCACTGGTAATAGTAAGTACACAGACAAACAGAATATTGTAACACTGTAATTGTGATGCATAAACTACTCATATCTTGAGTAGAAAGTCTAAAAGATTAATAAACCAAAAAATTAATAACTGCCACAACTTTTTAAGACAGACAGTACAAGAACATAAACAGGAACAACAAAAAGTTCAAAAGTGGTGGCATGAAGTTAAAGTGTAGAGTTTTTATTAGTTTTCTCTTTGCTTTTTTGTTTAGTCCATCAGTGTTAAGTTGTCATCAGTTTAAAATAATGGGTTATAAGATATTATTTGCAAGCCTTATGGTAACCTCAAATCAAAAAACATACAACTGATACGCAAAAAGTAAAAAGCAAGAATCAAAACATACCACCAGAAGAAATCACCTTCACTAAGAGAAAAACAGGAAGGAATGAAAGAAGGAAGAGAAGATCGCAAAACAACAAGAAGACATATAACAAAATGGCAGGAGTAGGTTTTATCAATAACAATATTGAATGTAAGTGAACTAAACTCTCCAATCAAAAGACATAGAGTGGCTGAATGGATAAAAAAACAAGACCCAACGATCTGTCACCTACAAGAAACATGTTTCACTTATAAAAACACACATAGACTGAAAACAAAGGGATGGAAAAAGATGCTCCATGCCAATGGAGACCAAAAAAGAGCAGGACTGGCTATATTTATGTCCGATAAAATAGATTTCAAGACAAAAACTGTAAAAAGAGACAAGGTCTCTTTGACCTTATGATAAAGGTGTCAATTCAGCAAGAGGATATAACAATTAATTGTAAAGAAATATGCACCTGACACTGGAGCACCCAGATATATAAAGCAAATATTAGAGCTGAAGAAAGAGATAGACCCCAATGCAGTAATAGCTGAAAGACTTCAACACCCCACTCTCAGCATTAGAGATGTCATCAAGACAGAACATCAATAAAGACACATCAGACTTAATCTGTCCTATAGACCAAGTGGATCTAATAGATATTTACAGAACATTTCATCTAATGGCTGCAGAGTATGCATTCTTCTCCTTAGCATATGGATCATTCTCAAGGATAGATCATATATTTGGCCACAAAACAAGCCTTTAAAAGTTCAAAAAAATTGAAATCATGTTAAGTATCTTCTCTGACTACAATGGAAAAAAAAACTAGAAGTCAGTAACAAGAGGAACTTTGAAAACTATATAAACACATGGAAATTAAAAATATGCTACTGAATGACAGGTGAGCCAATGAAGAAATTAAGAAGGAAGATAAAAAACTTCTGAAAACAAATGATAATGGGAACATAATACCAAAATATATGGGACACAGTGAAAGCAGTACTGAGAGGAAAGTTTATACCTAAAACTGCCTACATCAAAAAAGTAAAAATGCCTCAAATAAACAACTTAACAATGCATCTTAAAGAACTAGAAAAGCAAGAGCAAACCAAACCCAAAATTAGTAGAAGAAATAATAAAGATCAGAGGAGAAGTAAATGAAATTGACATGAAAAAAGATACAAAAGATCAATGAAACCACAAGTTGGTTTTTCTAAAAGATAAAATCAGCAAATCTTTAGCCATATTACTTAAGAAAAAAAGACAGACGATCTAAATGAGTAAAATCAGAGGTTAAAAAAAGGGGACATTACAACTAACACGGCAGAAATTCAAAGGATGATTAGAGGCTACTGCAAGCAACTATATGCCATTAAATTGAAAAA